TGCTGCTCATTTAGTCTTAAACCTTACAGTGGCAAAATAAACTATCTGAAATTATTTCTTACGAATCTATTTTATTCAAATTTTAATTTTTAAAATGTTTGCGGTATTCCCTCTATAAATTGAAAAGTTAGTGCTGCTCTTTCAATATATATACACTTTTTTTCATTTGAAGAAGTGCCATAAATGAGCGATATAAATAAAAACACCAATATCATTTGTACCCCTCCAGAACCACTCAGAAAAAAACCTTTTAACAAATCACAACAAATTATGTGTTGCTGCTGCTCATGTTGTTGGACGTGGTTCTTTGATGCTGCTACTCCTGCGGCTGCTGGCGGTGTTCTGGGCGATCTACGGCTGATGTTCTGGCTGTTGGTGACGCTTGCTGCTGCTGCTGCTGCAAGTTCCCAAGTTGACTCTAGCATTCCCAACAATGATTCTAGCATTCGTGCAGCAGGTGGGGTTGGTGGAGCAGCTATAAGCGTTCGAAGGGGGCCAATAGATCTAGTAAATAATAATATTAATAATAATAATAGGTGCTGGCTTCAGTAAGTCTTGAGACCGCCTTCTAAACTGGACCACAAGCTGCCGTACCTTGGCAATGGCAGCTAATAAGCGGGGCATCCCTTCCAGCTTGTTAGATGGTTTCCTCCTTCGGGTCTGGAACCAACGGCATCAACTCTAAATAGTATAGATTCAGATCTTGCTCTTGCTGACACGATTCATAATGGTTTGGACACCAGCCTGGCCAGCTCATCTCTGAGGCGATCTATTCAGCTTTCTGTAGGGATGGATAGAGTCGCCTGATCCTCTATCGTCCTTAAACTGAAACGAATGAAACGCAAATTAATTAATTACTGCTGAAAATTATGTTAAGTCCCTCATTAATGAATATTAATAGGTGTTGGTGCATGCGGATCTATGGGAAGTTGCGTCGGGGGATTTACTGGAGTCTGATGCGGGCGAAAATATTAACTGGAGTGCACCGGATCATAAGGCATTGGCAACGATCACGCTAAATATTAAGGCATCGCAGTTGGGATACATCAAGAATTGCATGACGTCGCAGGAGGCATGGACTAAGTTGCGCGAAATTCATCAGCCAAGCGGGCCGGTTCGTTAAGTCTCGCTATACAAAAAGTTGCTCAATTCACGCATGGCGGAGGGGCAAAGCATGGATCAGCTTGCCGGAGTTGGAATAGCAATAGTTAACGAGCTCAAGATCATTTTGCTTTCCAGTCTTGCAGATTCTTATGAGAATTTCGTTGTCGCCATCGAGACGCGCGACAGTCTTCCAACGTTTGAAATTCTATGTATAAAGTTGAAGGAAGAAGGCGAGAGGAAAGAGAGCGCAGAAAAGCACAGCAATGTCGCGCAGGTCTTTACAGTTAGACAGAGGCTTAGTGCGAAGATCACTGCAAAGAAGAAACTGAAAAATGTTGCCAGTTACAACTGTGGTCAAATATTTGTGGGCATATTTGAATCGAATTGTCGCAAAGTAAGTGCCAAAAATGATTAAACAAAGAGCGGACAGCAGAATTGAGTTGATGAAGAGGATGATGATGGGGGAAGATCTCACATCTCGCTGAGATACACCTGAATCTTTTGAAAGTGCAAAAGATGACAAAAACCTGGAGGAAGAGCAGATCCCACGAATTGAGCCTGGAAGATCGAAATTGCTAAGAACGAGCAGACCTAGTCGCCCAAGGAAGCAATTTAATATACTCAGCGCAATGGTTGCAAGTGATGTACCCATTCCAGTAACCTACGAGGAGGCAACGAGCTGTTCGCATGCTTCGCTTTGGCAAGAAGCAGTGATGCACTCTTGAATATCGGAAGACAGTCTTGAATATCGGAAGACACTCTCGAATATCGGAAATAATTACACAACACTGCCCGATAAGCTGCTCAAGTACAACTTTAAAAGCACCAAATATATTAATCTTTTGCATAACAAAATAAACCGTCTCCCAAATGAAATTGGCGAATCCTTGCCAGGCCTAGAGACATTAATCTTGGATCATAACAAACTTGCCGATCCGAATGAACAATTCCAGATACCAATGAGAGTCAAAATTTTGATTAATCGAAATCGATTTGAATGCGATTGCAATTCCGATGCCAATACGAATACATCGTAAGGGTTGTCTCAGCAAAGCAATGAAGGCACCATATAATTTGCAAAGTATTTCGCAATCAGATATAGAAAAATATAGAATATAATTATATATTAAAATAAAATAAATAAATAATATACATATAAATAAAAAAACAAACAAGACAAACCGGCGGCAACAACAGGCGGAATAATCCAACGCAGCCACCAAGAGGAGATCGCCGGGGACAACTGAGACAAATCAGGAACAAAGGAGTGGGATCCAGGGAACATTGAGACGACTCGAACTCGGATCATCCCAAAATGCTAGTGAGTTTGCTCCATCACTTTTAATTGCGGCGAATTGGCACGAAGATACCCGCTGATCGTCCATAACCTCCATAAGGCATCGGTGACAAGCAATGCGTTCAACAGTGACAAGTCGATAGCGAGCTAAACTGATAATACTGGTTTGCGATTTATTTGCATGTTAATGAATAACCTTTGAGCCGAATATTCTTAAATGTGGCACGGTTGGCTTTTTACCGGTCCACTTCTCATAGGACGTCTTCTCTATCAACGTTTTTGTCTCCGACCTATTGCAAAAATATTTAGTATTATATATATACTTATATGTACATATACGAGTATATATATACTTATATTTATAAACTGATAATACTGCTTTGCGATTTATTATCATTTTCCTAAAGCCGAATTGTTATAAGCTCAGAGTCACAGAACACACTAAATGAACCTCAAATCGGGAATAATCATCCAAGTGCAAAAGTTGTTCCACTTTTAAGAGCGATTGATTAGTCAATAAATATTTATTAATTATTGACGTCGATAGATTAGTTTTATAGAAGATAGTATTTGACTTAGTCAGCAAACTCCTTTCTGTATTTTTTCAGATCAAAAAAAGTTTTTTTTCTGAGTGTAGCGTTTTACATTTTTTAAGTATTTTGCTGGCAAGAATTGTAAGAGATAGATAAAAAATTGCATGGCCACTCCTACTCCGCCTCCTTGGTGTAAGTCGATATAAACATATATCTCACAATTTGAAAGCTAGTAATTGTTATTATATATATAATATATGTATATTAATATGTTAAAGCAACAATGCTTACATATTTCTGTATGCATAATGTACATAGAGTTGCCACAGCATTCTATATGCAGGTCTCTTAAAAGATCACTGTAAAGACGCGCATAAAATCGGTTAGCGCAATTAGTCGTTCCATTACATTAAGCAAAGACAGTCGCGCAGCGCTGGACCTAAAGATATTGAAATTTATATATAAACATAACTTCTACAGAAAAACTCCTCGTGTTATTTAAATAAAAGACTATATTGGCCGTAATCTAAGAGCAATAGCTAGGAAACTTGGAATGTGGGTAACTAATATCGTTCTCCAAATTTTTTTGATCACGCCCACTTCCTTTTTTTTTAATTATGCAGCATTTATATTTAAACATGAATCAACCTATTGAAAGGCTATAAAACATTGATTTGTAAAGGTATGAATGAATAATAGCAGTGAATTAAAATCTGTAACATAAACATAGAACTGGTTTTAGCAGATAATAAATAACATTAAATATTATATTTGTAGCACATTAATTTAACGCCCAACAATTAATGCTCCTGTACAGCAGCAGCCTATTGCTCAAGCTGAGTTTGCTAGAAGGCTTCAGCAATCACGCCCACTTCCGCCCCAAAATTTCGAAAATCCCATATCTCCCGTAATTTAAGAGTTACAGCAACAGTTTGAGAGGCAAACTTGGACGGTATTTCTTGGCTACACCCAGCTATCCGTTGCTATCTGTTATCCTGCTAACTGTTATCAGCTGACATTACTTATGATATCAAAGTATTTCGGAGTCGTCCATTACAGCCACGTTGTCTCTTGTTTCTTTTAGTGTTTTCCACTGTTTTGGATAACAATTTTAATGTTTTTTTTCCAGGAAGAATATTATTCTGTGTGTTTCTCACGATTATTAACGATTTCTTTACAAGCATATATTAATAATAGTTGAAATGTTTCTTATTTCAGAAAATGATGCGCATCTTGTTGTTATTAATTCCTTTGACGACGGGCTTAACTTCTCAAAGGATTTGTGGATGCATTAGAACGACAATAGACTCCTTTAACTGTTCGTATGCAAAAAATGTGGACTTTGAGTGCTTGTCGAGGGAGAAGCCAGTGGAGCTTTCGCTTATCGGAAATAATTACACAACACTGCCCGAGGAGCTGCCCAAGAATAACTTGACAAGCATCAAATATATTAATCTTTCGCAAAATAATATAACCCATCTACCAAATGGAATTGACGAATTTTGCCAGGCCTGAAGACATTAAACTTGGAGCATAACCAACTGACCGATCTGAAAGAACTACTCAAGATACCTAAGGGAGTCAAAGCTTTGATTAATCGCAATCGATTTGAATGCGATTGCGAACCCAAGTCCGATGCCCAAAAGCTGCGAATACATATAAAGGTTTGTAGCGTGAAAGTGCAATCAACTGATAATTAAATTTGAATTAATTATAAAATTCTTTTCTTTAGGGTATATTTAGTATAGCTATGTGCTCCACTATCGTTTCGGGGATACAAAGGATGTGCCATTCACAACCTTCTGTTTTGAAAACATCGAAGAAGATCCGATATGGTATGAACATGGGTTATTTAGGGGTCTTGTTATTTTCTTTATTGTTGTTGTTGTTGCAGTTTTCGAATTAAGACAGAAAATTATTACATATTGTAAAAAAACCAAAATTGCCATTGTAAATAGGTGTAAACGCAATTTCTTTCGAGAGAGATAGAGACTTGAAAATTGGAACTATAAAGATCGGTATTTCTTGGATAAAGCCACCCAAAAAAGTATTTCGCAGTCAGATTTTACATTAACGAACTTAGCAACAAAATTAAAATCTCGATTTTGATAAATCGCCCCAAAAGACTTTTATCGATTTCCTACAGTCAGAAAAAAAAAGAACCGTGCATCCATATATATGTTAAGTCCCTTATTAATGAATATCAGTACTATTAACTATCAGCATCGCGGTAGCCTTGAATACATTTGAGTTGAGTACACAACGCTGGTGGCACTTCGCAATATTTTCTTATTCAGTCATTCCCCTGACGCGGGGAAACTGTAACATCACATACATTTCGAATTCTTTTTCTGAGTGTAGGAAATCGTTGTAAATCTATAATTCCACATATGTCCACAATTAAATTTTACATTTTTCGAATGTCATTCGCACATAATAATAAATTGGAGTATTACTTTTACGTATAAGTAAAAATAAAATTGTATTATCCGATCAGAAATTGGAATCATAGAAGACTTATAAAATACTTAAATTAATTCTTCCTGCTGAATTTATAACGGGCTTATTTCTATTATTGCTTTGCTTGTTTTCCAAACTCAACTGAAAATTGAAGGCTGCTAACGGCATGATTTATGTAATTGTCAATTAGTTAAGGATTCTTATAATAGCTTTTTTGTTGTCTATTTTATTCAAAGGCATTTGCATAATATATTGGTACCAGGACAACTATACTCCATTCAGAATGAATTTCGCATAACAGAAGGGACAACAAATAAATAGCAAAATTGTTTAAATGTGCACAAATTATTGTGAAAAATATAAATCA